AGGGGGGGGCGCCAAAGGCGGTGTCGGGCCAAAGGGAAAAAAAAAGCTGTCTAGTTTTGTAGCTCAGTTAAAAAGCTGAGTTGCAGTACAAAAATTTCAGGTTCTCTCTCACTGCGAAAATTGCACTAACTTACATCCTAGATCTACAACATGTTTTTTGTAGAAATTTTGCAAAATTATTTCTCTCTTTGCTTTCACAGATGCCAGTAGCTTTCAGAAACTCACTTAAAGTTTCCTTTCCTTTCCAAGTTAACAGTGAGGAATTTCAACTTGAGACCTGCAAACAGCTTTTTTTTTTAACCTAAATTTGCAACACCCTGTAAAAAAACTTCTTACAAGCTTTCACTTCTGAAGTTCATACAGTCTTCTCATGTACAATAGTTTGAAAAGTCATCCACAAGACAATTACAGCTGCTGATGAAACATGCTTGCCACACAAACACACTATGAATTTCATGACTTTTAAACAGAAATGTGTAGACAGTCAGGGTCTGGCGGCCGGAAGATATCGCGCTGTATGGAAACATAGGCCCCCCCCCTCCTGACAGCCAATAGTGCCTAGTTTATGATGTAAGCAGACGGAAATGAGGTCATAAACCCAAGCTATATAACGCTGTGTCACCCAGCAATAAACGCCGTTTGCTGTCCACCACATTGGTGTCAGTGACCTGATGGCCCGAGCGGCCCGGGGAAGGCCGCCATGCCGTTCCTGAACCAGGTCGCCACGCCTCCAAAGGCAGCAGAAATGTGCCTGATAATTGCAATTATTACAGCAGTAAGGTTGCCAAGTTTCAATGCTTTGACTACACTTTTATGTAAAGTCTTAACTGAAACAGTAAATTAACGGAAGAGTAACTTTGCTGATAATCAATTTATTCCAAAGATGGTACCCTATATAGGCTTGAATGTGTACAGGTATGCAACAGTATTGGGTTTTTTTTGGTTTTTTTTGTTTTTTTTTTTTTTTTTTAAAATCAAAGTACCAAAATAATTTTAAAGGTTCTTTAAAGCAAATCAAGGCTGACATGTCTGAAATGTCACACTGGTTTCCAGAACCAAAACCCTGTCCCAGTGAAGTTCACCTTTTTAAAGATAATTTTTTAACCTAAATGATAAAAATTCCCCAGAACATTACTGTTCAAGAGTAAGTCAAGTTAAGAGTTTATTTAGAAACCATCTCAACCACCAACCTAATTCTCCAACTCCCAACTCTGTGAATCCCGGCAAACTTCATGACAGAATGAACAACAGTACAAAACCAGGGGGTCTGCAATACTCCTAACTGGGTGAGGAGCTGTGACAGTGAGATCACCACTACTTTTGCATCTCCACCTCTCAAGCAACCCAGGAGCTATGCATTCTTTTGTCACAGCTAGGACCAGAAATAAAACCCCACAGCACACAATCGCACTGTCTGTTAAACTATGCATAGGTTGAGCACTCGGAAATCCCATGACTGGATGTGGAAGCGCAGAGGTGCAAGGAACACTGACACCAAGCGAGGCAAGCCATCCACCATCCCCAGACTATGCTACCGCCCTCCCACATTTCAATCACAGCCACTGTACAGGATAGGCTCATACCCAGGAAGAAAGGTTATAAAGACTCTGAGACTAACGGAACAGTAGCATAAAATAAGAATCCAGAAAGCAAACCAAGTGGTGATACCAGCTAAATTAGTGACAAACATTCAAAAAGCATAAAAAAATTCACAAAGCAAGGCCAGCAGAGTAACTGAATTATTCTGACAGCCTTATGCACAGATTTTGTTTTGTTTGACAGGTATAAATAAGTTCTAGCCTCTTACTGAAGGGGAAAAAAAAAAAGCTTTCACACTCCATCAAACAAGCCTAAGAAATACGTATTTAAAGAAACTGCCACTAACCCATCTCAGTGTATGTAGTAGAAAATAGCATGTGCTTCACTTTACAGCTAGGTTTCAAGAAGTAGGTGTTCAGTAGGAGCTTGGTGGGGGGAAAAAAGCAACCATATAAGGCAACAAAACCAGAATAAAAAGAATGTGTTTCAGTGAGTTGGGCAGACGTCTGTTCTTACCACACAAGGCTTGGCAACTTTCAAATCAGGGGAACCTCAGATCACCCTTTCAGACAGGAAGTAATCCACAAAGCAAGGTTCCTGACATGCAAGTTGAGATCAAACTTCTTTATATTTACCTGTCTGCTTTCAAAAGCAGGTTAGATGGCAGTTCAAGGAGCTGGTTGTGTTGCACGTCCAGGACCTCCACTTGTATTCGCTCAAGCCGATCTGGTAGCCTTCCTAACATGTTATGTCCTGCCAGCAGCTTACGCAAGCTACTATTGTAAAACAACCTTAGAGAAACAAAAAACACCAAATATGAGAAAAATATAAATGTAAGAGTCGCTCTGAGAATTTAGGTGCGGTATCACGGTTCATTACAAGAAAGTGATTCAGCTAGCTGATTAGCAGACATGGTATTATTACGCACAGATCCACGAATGTCTTCCCACTCTCCACCACCTTCTTGAAAAGGTTGTTCGGAGTCAGGGGAGGAGGTTTAAGGATGATTCAGGAGTGAAAGTAGTGAGAAAGGGTTATCTTATTGCACTGTATAAAACATGAATATAGAAGCACGACAGCGAAGGAAGTAATTGCTAACAATGGCTGCAAAAAACTGCACATGTGGGATCCCCCTAAGCTAATGGAAGTACTTCAAAAGTGTGGGTGAAATCAACAGTCACCCCACAAGCTTCATAGTGCTGTATTCATCATGTGCTGACTCATAATCCAATCCAATTCCCTACCCCCCCTTTTTCCTTTTCTGTTAATACCAGACTAACATAAAGCCTCCTTTCCAGTTCTACAGTGAATGAAATTTATCTAATCGGCTTTACTTTCTTGAGCTCTTACAAGCAATAGATGACTTGGAGTCCCACCTCCCAGCTCCATATTTTGGGGGGCTGGGGGAGAAGAGGGCAATGTAAAGAAGAAAGAACAAAACAGCTATTTTGATCAAATAGTAAAGCTAAAATTTGCAGTACGAACAATGTAATAAGGAGTTTAAAATCTGCACTTAAAGACCTCAAAAATGGAGCAACTCTCTATTTTGAACGGGAACCACTTTCAGCAAATTAAGAAAAAAAGATTATTCTTCATCTGCCACCTGTCTCACATTCCCGCTACCGTACTGTTTAATCTGGCAAGCCTGGGCATCATGCTGACCTGTTTCAATCAAAGACTCAAATTACTCAGCATTAAAGTGAAAATCTTCTTCCCTCTGTTACAATGACCCAAATACACATAACGAGCCTCCCTGCCCCTTCCACACAATACATCGGGTCATCGGATTGTTGTGCCAAAATAATCAATGAAGTATGCAGAGCATTTTCCCCTTGACAGATACAGTCATACTCCGTATCTGTGTGCCAGTGTTAACAGTTATCTCAGTTGGCTGGATCGTCTGCATTACAACCATGGATGCAAGTCAACCGCCAGCCGTATCATTCCAGAAGGCTCAACACGGGGTGAAAAGACTCAACATACAGTGATAGCGTATCTATTATGTTTTTGTTATTTAACCATTTTTGTTTCACTCTACTTTTACTGGAAAATCTGTTACTGATGTGCCTTTCTATTTATTTCCTTTCTTAATCAAGACTGGCCAGTATCATCAACACCAAATATTACAGGAAAATGCAGAATTGGTTGACAACATCTCAAAAAAATTTTATCACTTTGAGGCTTTTTTTGGATGGGTGGGGGCAGTGCCATTTCAAAATTTAAAAAGTTGAAATCACGGCAAAAACCTTAGCAATTAGCTTTTCTGTGAAAATATATTTTATAAATAAGTCAGAAGAAATGAGTAAGCCTTTGGGGGTTTTTGTTTGTTTATTTGTTTTCTCTTATTTTCCAAGTTACACAAGCACCAAAGGAACTGGGCTGCCTGAAGAAAGATTGAACCACCAGCATTTAACTAAGCAAGCTCCTAATGAGCCTGGGACACCTAGTTCTCAAGCTGGGTGGGGAACGAGGATGCTGGGACTGCTCTTCCCTGTGGGCAGCCTTCTCACTTGCCCAACTCCCACTGAAAGTTCTGATGGGATCAGAAAGTTCTAAGGACAAGCATGTCACCCAGCATCAGCATCTTCTGAGAAAACATGGTTTGGTGAAAGCACTCAGTCCATTCCTTTAGTAAGCAACTGTCCAAGAGAATACAATGTTGAATACAAATAGATCTTTAAAAAAAAATAAAGACAAAAGGAACAAAAATAAATACAGACATCTGTTCCCTGATGGCGGCAAGGTCATTTTGGAAACTCTTAATTGAAGCAGTTCCACTTTCTTTGGGGAATCTTTGGCAACGTCAGTTTTATGATAATGAATCTGTCCTGCATAACTAAGACTTTGTTATCTTTCAGCACTTTTGAAGCAGAAATGACTGTATTACAGCCCAGTGTACACTGTTCCCATTTTCTTTAATGGGGACAAACATTAGTACACAGTCCTCTATCTCAACTGCTTCAACTCTTTGTCTTCAAGGATTGTTTTTGCTGTTTCAAGCGGCAAACGCACACAGCATCAACTGTAGTTTGTTTAGATTAGGTGCAACCTTCAGCCTTCCAGGAAACTGCTGGTCAGTCAAGGCTTCAACATTTGTGGTTAGAGTTGCAAGAAACCTCCTAGGACAGTGCTGCTCACTTACTCCATAGGTTTTCAGACTGCTATTCTATGTAGAAGGAAAAGCACTCAGCAGCGCACACAAACACATTTACTGGGCGCTACTATTTACCTGGTACTTAACAGTAGGTCTATATGCCTGAGCCGTTCGCATTTGAATCCAGACCCAAATTTCCCTAAAGTTTAACAGGCCTTAAAAGCCTGTGTTTTGAACTGGGCCTTAAAATTGAGCTGACTTACTAGGAGCCAAGCTATCTAGACACATACTACAAAGAAGAGCTTTCAAAGATAAATTGTTTCCTGGGGTTAATGATAAAATGACAGGAGAGACAAGTGGGATGTTGACTGTACCTAATTTCAGCTAATCATTAATCTCCCAAAGATATCCGGTACGCCTTGATAGTCCTTGCTGTTATAAAGTGCAAAAGAAACGCAAATTAACTTTTGCTCCCTCCACCTTCTGAGTAGGCACAGTTTCACTTTGTGTGAAAAAAACAGAGGGATTAATAGTCTGCATGTAGCCTGTAAGTTTGCTCCATAAATCTCCTTGCATCCTTTTCTGCCCACATTTCTGAAATCTATTCTCTTCCCATTTCTGACACTAAAACTGCCAGTTTACACCATATAGCACATTCATCTGACCCAGACAAAACTATCCTTTTTCTGTATTTCTGATGCTCTTCTGTGCTGTACAGCTCCGTAAGGAAAATATTTAATAGCTCATCATATACTAGCTGCCTACAATCTTCAATGGCTCTGCACATCCCCATACAGTTTCACCCTTTGTGCCTACTATGTTCTCTCTCTTTCACAACAACTCTTTTGAAGTGTACAGAGCAGCCAAGAATGACAGCTCTTTTCCAGTGAAGTCAGGGACTTAAAAATTCTCAATACCAGCACCTGACCAGTATACTCACCTGGAACAGGTGTCTCTAGGAAAAAAACCTAGTAAGAGCCATTCATTATTTAAACTCAACTCCTATTTTCCTTCCTGTTTGCTTGCTTTCCTACCATTTATATTTATCAATTTTAAGTTTAGACTCCTGGAAAAGAGATCATCTTTGCAGTGAAGGCAACTGCTCTATTTGCAGGAGTTTGCTTGCTTGATAAGGCTTTACCTTCTGCTCTCAACTGTTTTTTGCTCAAACAGGACTGTGAAGGGGAGTCTCTAGGCACCACTGAAACTAAGTTACAAGTTCTAGATCTCTAAACGGTCATGCAAAGTTATGGCTGTAAATATTTAATATTCAGTATTAAAAATGAAGGGTTTTCCTGCCTGAACAGCCACATGAACAGCCTCAAAACTTCCACCAGTTCAAAGGCGCTGCTTTCTCTGCATGAAAGTAAAAGAAGAAAGGCTGGGTGGAAGCTTGAGGCCTGATGACACCCCACAAGGTAAAAATAAAATCAAACAAAAGATAAAATGGGCCTGACAGTCACTGGAACAAGCTAAACACTGAATCAGCAATTATTACTGAATTGCTTATTCTTTCCACATTGTGCAACTGGTCTGTAAGACTCACCGGGCAGGCAGCTCGCGTATCTGATTGTGCCCAACATCTAACACTTCCAGTTTCCTGCTGTCACATACCCACTCAGGCAGGTTTTCCAGGTGATTTCTGTGAATAAAGAAAACAAAGAGGTGTAATTAAATGATAATCAAGATGTAACAGCTATTAAGAATACAGCCTCAAGAGAGATACAGATACCTGCAGGAAAGAAATCTACTACATAATATGTTTCCTATAAGATTGTATCACCCCTCCTTCTCTGAGGGCACTACCAGTGCAGTAAGGTCCTGATTGAGGGGGCAAGAAAGCTAACAGCCTAGATGCGCAGCCACTAAGGAAATGGAAAAAGCTGCTTCCAAATTATTGGGGAAAAAGTATTAAGAGTATCAGAGTATCAAGGATAAAGAAGTCTCTCCATGGAGAAGAAAATTTGTGAGATACTCCTCAGAAGATATTCACACCCTACACAATTTAAACACACTTGTTCAATCCCCCATAAATTCAATCCTGAAACCCACTCTACCACTCACTCTGCAGCGATCTCACCAAATAGTGAAAAATCCCTTTCTTATGTATCTTTAAAGTCAAGCATTTTGCTTTTCTTGCATTTGTCTTCACAGAAACTAACCCTTCCACAAATTAAGTTCTTAGAGGTGAGTTTTTCCAAATATTGCACAGAAAACATGCAGCTAGGCATAGCGGAGCACCCAAGTATCCCGCCTTAAAGACAAAAATTAGCAGCACAAAATACATGGAGGAGATTGCGTGCATGTGCATTCACATAACCACTACTTCAGTTAGCATACACAGATGCAAACCTGGGCATCAAACAACATTCAGACATTCGAAGACTAGAAGTTCAGGAATCAGACCCTTACACAGCATGAACATAAATCAACGTTCATGGTCATTCATGTACTTGTATCCCATAGTTTATTCACGCAATAGCCTTTAACCAAAACACGTGATAGCAACCCAAACCCTCTTATCCTCAGATAGTTTCCTTTTCAATCTCAAACAGACTTCCCAAATTCCAATCGAGCCAAGAAGCTAAAGACACCCTACTGATCCAGTTACAATGCCATCACTGAACTGAGGCACAAAAAGGGTTTTGTAACCAAAATCATGCATTCTGCACCAATTTCACTTACAGCTAAATGGAAAACACAACTGTATAAAGAATGTTTTCCAATAAATCAGTCACACCTGTGTGTTACATTAGGTGCACAATGTGAGTAGCTCATGGTTGATGAAACTTTGAAGTTGATAGCCACTTGCCCAGGTTAACTCACTAATTGTGGCATTCACCCTCAACAGCTTAAGAGTACTTTAAGCAGGCTTTTTAATGCATGTGATTATCACTTCAACACGCAGAGGAGTAATTCCTCAAATAAGACAGGCATTAAGCACATGTATAAAGCGATTTCCTGATTCAGTCCTTAAATTGTAAAATGAACTAGAACGAAGAACACTCCCTTTTCCGTTTCTTTCCTCACCCCACCTCCCTCGTTACAGTGAGATTTACGGATGCATTCAACTGCAAACATCCCTGCAGCAGCCAGGGCTGTGGAGAACAACAATGAGCTGCAGGAGCTGCCGAACTGACAAGCAAACTATCAAACCGTCACCTCCGTTGGGCTTGTGACACAGACATATCCAGAAAGGAACTTCTGTACATGTCTCACATTGGTGCACGTTTGAATCATTGTGTTGTATCTCTTTAACACAGGAAATCTTTAAATCAGGGAAACTCTGATATATAAAGGTGTATTTTGCTTTTAACACTAAATAAAAATAAATTTAAAAAGTAAAACTTAAAAAGGAAATGGGGAAGAACTGGCCAGTAGAAAAAAAAAAAATCTTCTAACTGAAAATCAGTCTTCTCACAACTCAAGGTCCAGTTTCTGTCCCCACTCCCTCCCAGTAAAATACCAGCAAATGTAATTTTTCCATAAGCTTCACTGATGTATATTTTAAAGGCCCAAGAAAAAAAAACACACTCTTACCTAGAAATATCCATATAAGCCAGGCAATTAGGAACTGGATACACATCAAGGTGAACAAGTTCTAGGGGGAAAAAATACATAAAAGTAGTGATAATGATTTGCACCTAAATGGCTGTTCCATAAGAGTTACTTTAAGCAGCTAACACCCACAGATTTCAGAACAAGTCAGCAATCTAAAATACTTCTGAGTATCTAGACGTTTGTGAACTGAGTTTTGTTTCTTTATTACTATTGTAAAACAATAATAAATAATATTATTAGTATCCTGGGGCCTACAGGAAAGATGGGGAGGGAATCTTTATCAGGGAGGGCAGTGACAGGACAAGGGGCAATGGTTTCAAATTAGATTAGTTGTTAGGAATGTTGGTGAGGCGCTGGCACAGATTGCCCAGAGCAGCTGTGGCTGCCCCCTCCCTGGCAGTGTTCAAGGCCAGGCTGGATGGGGCTTGGAACAACCTGGTCTAGTGGGAGGTGTCCCTGCCCATGGCAGGGGGGTTGGAACTAGATGGTCTTTAAGGTCCCTTCCGACCCAAACGGTTCTGTGGTTCTGTGATTACATCTGAGTAGATTTGCTGTATTACGTTGTACTTGCTATGACAGACACTGCATAACTGATCAGAGAGGAGAAACTGAAGGATTTTAGAAGTTTCATAGCAAATTCTCATTTTTCCATTTTTGTTCCAGAGCTGTAACTTCATCTCCACCACCCTCTGCCCAGAATAATCAGTCACAAACTTGCTCTACATTTTTTCACTGGTCACTGATGGTACAGGCATGGGAAGGGAGACTCCCCACTCTGGAACAACAAGCTACGGAGTACCTGACTGTCCTCCAGGTCATGGCAAGATCCAGAGTATTTTTCAACTCATTACATGAGCCTTTGTATCCCTGTGGAGTTCCTGGTTGCAGGCAGCCTTACAGCCATTTCACAGCATCTCAACTACTCCTAGTAATGTTATATTTCAATTGCTTCAATAATTTTTCATATCCTAAGCTTTTTAGGTAGCTAATGCTTTCATCAGGGTTGACACAAAACCAGCAGACATTTATCTAAGCCTACAGAAAATCCACTAGAATGGAATGAGACTAAAACAAGGCAGCTGAGGGTGCAAAGAGATGACAGCTAGGAGAAACACCAAGACCAAACAGGCAGTTGATTGCAAGATACCGGTTGACTTTGAGTTCTCAGCTCACATTGCACAGCACATGCTCAGATTATGTTAACTTTTTTCAGCTACCAAGATCCTGGCATGAATACTTAATGAAGGCACAGGCTTGGATATCATTAAGATGACAGCCTTTTAAAGGCAGTTCCGACTGATCACCAGCTCTCTAAGCTTGCATTTTGTTTATTCCATACCAAACTACTCCAAACAAAAAAACAGTGGTGAAAACTGAGTATTTTAAGGAATAACAGCTTCCAGAGACAGGTCAAACAAATCTATTCATGGAACATTGCATTATTTTAATTTAATTATCATATACAAATGAGGTTACTTATTTGTGCCTCTCTGGCCAGAGTAAGCTGCCAGAGTCAGTAGTAAAAATACATACTGTTTTAGCTTGCCTCACAAATGACCATTTGTTCAAACTTTCTCAACTCCAGGCAAAAGCAATAAATTCTTTATTTGCCTTAGTATATCAACACATAAATACGGCCCAAAGAACTGACAACTTAAAGACCCCTCCCTGCTGACATAAAGAGGATTTTCAGCACAAATTCTAAGATTTTCACCATTTCAAGACCTCCAAATCAGCAGCCCAGTGTTGTTTGAAAGTCACTTTTGAGGCTCAGAACTGCCAGTAGCATGATACAGCACATATAAAACCCTTTTATCCAACAGTCATATCAAGAGCCTCTCAATTCCTCCTGATTATGTGCACTGCACTCCACAAGCACCCTGCAGAGAGCCAGGTACGAAACCAGAAGTCAGATGACACCACCACAGCTGCCCTGAAAAAGCACTTACCATTCGAGGAAGCGTAAAGCGCTTTGAGAAAATATCCACTGATTTTGAGGGTTACCAGTTGATTCCGTTCACAGTGTAACACTTCAACGTTGTTAAAAACTGTTGCATCCAGCTCCCCAAGTTTGTTGTCTCTGAGATCCAGTTGGGTCACGTGATGCAGAAAATCCATCTCATCGGCCTCCAGTCTCCTAATTGAATTCAATCTTGCGGACAAAAAAGGAGATTAAGTGTAGTTATGTGGCAGGCTCCTGCTGACAAACCAATTCTTGCTCTACAATCAGTTGCACGGGATTCAACTAGCATGGATCCAGGTTCTGATCAAGTCGATTGTGTTTCTGTATTTTAAAAGCAGGATGGATCTGCTCTGTTGTTTTATTCATCATGACAAAGGAATGATGACACCAAGCTCCTTTCTAAACTACTTTGAAAACTGATAAAAAGTTCTGCAAGAAGTTAAGTACTACTGTTATTGTGTCTATAAAAATAAAAGATGATCTGGCTGTTATTTGAGCCCAATAGTTTGGAAAAGAACAAAACCTCTACAGTTCCTGCTGGCCTATCATGAGCATCTGCTGGAAAAGCATGGCAGGTACAAGTAACCTGCAGATATTGGAGTATCTTGCTGTATTGAAAGGCGAAGTTGAGAATTATGAATTTCCATATATTTGCATCTCACGTCGCCATGTTCCACAGCAAGCGAATTCAGAGACCTGAAAATGGGTGTTGAAAGATAACAAAACAAAAACCCAAGACAAGTGAGTTGTCAAATAAAGAGAACAGGTTTTATCGCATCTTCACTGCAGTGCATTGATGCCGCCAATACTCAGCAACTTCCCCAAAAGTTACAACTGAGTGGGATTATATGCAATCCAGCAATGTTTGAGACTGCAGAGCACTCCAAAGAGTTCAGTTTAAAATTCCCAGATCTGACCAGAACACTAAAACCAGTACAGTAACTTCTACTGGCCCACTTATCCTCCGTAGGGATAATAAGGGCAAACACCTACAGTTCAGTTGCTGCTCTTCCTTTCAAAGAGTTGGCCTCTGTATAACAGTTGTGTTTTCAGTGTTGCTACATTTTCCAGTTAAAAGCAAATGGGTAATATGTCCCCTCCAACACCACAGCCTATTTCTGTTTTCAATTTACAAGCAGTGCTTCCTTCTCATTTTACTGAAGCAAAGCACTTCACTGTGCAGGCAGTACAGTTTAGAAACACATTTGACATTTACTATTCCAGGTGGCGTTACAAAGAACCACTGTTGACTGCTTGGTGCAGAAAGGATGTGGCAGACAATGAGAGGGCTGGAACTGCACTGTTGGAACTCACGGCTAGCTAAGCCATGACATCCCTACTCTGAGGCCAATTTATTTATTCATTCGCTTTTAACATACATACAAACATACAGACATATTTTACCCCCACCATAAACACTTCAGAATTCATTAATCTATTTTAGCTGTTTTCTTAACTTGTGCTGGCCCTTCCCTGACTGCAAAGTCTGACAGCTACACAGCAGTATGGTATACTTAAGTTTTAGCTTGAATAGGTTAACTAAGTGGTTCCAAAATTCATTGTTATTTGGACCTGACAGTCCAGGCTCTGAACTGAGCACTTTGCCCAGCTGATTGCAGAAGCTGGCTTCCCCAAAGACCATAAGAATAAAGAACCACCTCATACCAGAGACACTTGTAATAAGGATCTGTTCAGACTCTGATGAGGACATCAATAAAATAATGTTATTCATGGTGGACTAGGCTTTTTAACATACCAAGAAATACAAAAATATCTATTTTTGGCCTTTCACCTTCACTGCCCTTTTCTTCATCGCATGCATCTGCAACATTGCAGACATAAGCTTTTTGGGTGAGGGACTGAAATTTATATTAATAATATTAACACTGCAGCAACAAGAACTGCAGGAATCACCAGTGTCCCAAGCTCTATTTTGTTTTATCTTTTGGTGTAAATACTACTTTCCCTCCAAACTTATTGTCCCATCTCATGTTCCCCCTAAACGTCACCTCTTCCTCAAAGAAGAATGCTAAGTCATGGCAAGTGCTGTGAGTTACATAATACTGTCAGAAACACGGTTCAATGGACTAACACAAGAGATTCATACCTGGGGGATATTCCAACAGCCAAAAAGAAACTGCTTCAACACCAATAATTTAGACCCACTTATTCTTCCACTTTTCCAAGTACCTACCTTAGATCCACATGTTTAATATGAGGCATCCTTTTTAACACCTGTAGGTTCAGGGTATCCATGCAGTTTCCTGACATACAAAGTTTATCCATGGCAGTCAGCTTCTCCAGCACCCCGGGAATGTCGGTGAACTCGTTGAAAGACAGACTCACATAGCTGAGCTGATGCATATGCTCCAATTCATCAGGAAGGGACTGGAGAAAGTTGCCATCCAGCAAAAATGTCTGCAAGCTATTAAAAGTGAGTGAGAGAAAGGGACAGTGAAGAAAGTGAGTGACCTGTTAAATCACATTTCCTTCCTATACACACACAAATCTGATGCAGTTACAGTGATATAAAATATTAAAAAGGGCAGAAAAAAGAAAAATGTTAAGGAATAATGCTTTAACATCTGCTACAGAAGATATTGACCAAATAATTAAAAGCTTTGGTAACTATGAAATGTAGGCTGTGCTACAGTATCTTCGAATATCTCCAGAACTGTGACTTGTATGATGCCTGAAGCACTATACAAGGATGTTTAAAGATTTTCTTCACCGTGAAGGTGACCCTTGTGTCAAATGCTGGGGACTGGAAGAGCTTCAAGACACAAAGTGTGCTTCCTCTCCATCCACAGCTCACAACTGCTTCCATACAGATCTACAAGCCAGTCTGCTATGACAAAATCCCGTAAGTTTAAACCGTTTCTCAAAGCAAGATTATGTAGAGTCATGAAACTGCTTGTTGCCTTTATTATCAGGCTGTGTACATTAGGTTTTAAGAAAGTACTTGCTTGTGCATCTCGCCTACAACTGCTGGAACACTTCTGAGGGCATTGCAGGACACGTTGAGTTCAGTCAGGGTTGGGATACTGCAGACTGCCAGTGGGAAGTCTCCTAAATTATTATTGGAAAGGTTAAGGCTCTTCAACTTGGTGAATCTACAATGAGATAAGAAAAAATAAAAATAAAAAAATAAAGGAGACAATTAAGTGGAGTATAAACCATACCAAGTTGCCTTGCAATAATTAATACAAGGTAAGTTTGGTTATGTAAATGCAAATCACATGCATTTTTTGTTTATGGGCTCAGAACAACCAGGGAAACCACTAGACACTCAAGTTCAACACCACTTGCAAGAGTTCACTTACATTAAGCTGGCATAGAGAAACAGGCCCTCCTGAACGCTAAATATATTTTCCTACGAGTGTAACAAAGAACAAAACCATTGCCATTCCTGTGATGCAAGTCATTTCTTCTGTGGCATCTCATCCTGTTCTAAGGCACTGCTATTTTTCTGAACATATTTCTTGCTAGTAAGACTACCTAGTGACACTGGTTACAATGCGCAAGAAATTCTCAGGCCTATTTGAACACTGAACTTTTGTGGTGCAGCAGCTCAGCTCCATTCATGTGAGTAGGTAACTGCATTTCAATGCAAAATTCTCATTAGAATAGGCTGGTTTGAATACAACTGGGAAATGTGCTGAATTAAATCAGAATTTAGCAAGACTGTTTTAGTGACAGAGGCAAATTCTTATGCTCTCGATTAAGTGCGATGTCAAAGCTCACAGATTTCAAAATTTTGTCCTTGATGTGTCACAGAACTCTTAAAAGTCCCTTGGTTTATCACATCAGCCAATGGAGCAACTTGCATGTGCTTGCCTTACTAAAGATGACCAAGACTGTTTGAACAAAAATCCGAAGAAGGGAACAATCCAATTAGCCAGCCTGCATGTTCAGCAACATTATTATGGTTGCCTAACAACCATTGGGAGGTATGCTTAAAGGCAAGTAAAAGGATGAATGAAAAGATTTGTGTCAGATTCTGCTAGATGGGAGGAAGTTTGTTTTCTGGCATGGTTTACACCAGGACATTTTATTTGAACTTCATTTTCCCCTTGTTAAGGCTCAAGTGCTTTATTTGTGTGGCAGGCTTTTATGTAACATGGCAATAGAAGCAAAACTGCACCTATGAACGCTGCTGTTTCACAAGAAAGCAATCTCTGGCTGCATGTGCCAGTGTATCCTCAGCCTCTGCACTGACGCAGCACATTCACACCTCAAAGCACTTTGTCCTCCCCTGACCAGAAACCACGGACAGAAATCTCATCAAGTATTAAAAGGTTAAAGAGTTTTATCACCAAAAGACTTAAAAATCCTTACTAGCTACCGCAATCAACTTGTGCACACCTTTAGTATTGCCTAAATCAAACTCACGTCACTGACTAAAACTCAACATGAAAATGTAAGTAGCGTCTTCGTATTATATTTCAATGGTGGTTGTAAGTGAAGTGTGGATTTTACTCCAAAAGACAGGCTGTAAACACACTTACCATTTACACAGGCTTGCAGCAAGCAAGCGCATGTTGTGCTCTATTGGTATTTTGTTGCAAATATGGCAGAAGGAAAAAAATGGAAAAGTTATGGCCAGAGTTATCACAGATTTTGAACACCCTGTGCCATGCTGAAGGCAGAAGTTTGGAACAGAGTTAGATGGAGACTAAATGAAATCTTGCAATCAAATTACTGCTGCAGGGAAAAAATGCTACTGTGCAGAAAGAGTGACTAATGTATCTCTAGAGGGAGAACTGTAAAATAAAAAGGAGGCTAGAGTAAGGTAGATGATGTTAATGAGGGTTGCTACCCAGAAAAAAACCTGCACATTTTAAACACTGTACCTTCATATTCCTCTGTTTTGAAAGGGCTTAAAAATCTTGAACCCAGAAATGAAACATACAATTCTGCGTTTATCTTGAAGATAACTGTCAATTTAGGCCACAGGTATACTGCCCTGAAATTTGGGGTGATTCTGTGGTGGAACACAGAATGCGGATGTCCTCAAAGTCAACTGCAAATACAAATACAAAGAGTGCTCTAAGTAGCAGACTCTGGGGCCTTTAGAAATTGCCTTTTTTTTTTTTGTATTTAGCTGAAGACAGGAAGATTAAGTCAAAATAACTAAGCTGCTGGAGAAACATCAAAATGCAACCATTCCAGCTTTCAAGTCTACCATGAAAAAAGAATTAACTCATTTAATAATCAACACCAAGGCTACAGCCTTTACCTGTGCCACTCTGGAGTCTCAGAAGACCCGCCTCAGGGCTTTTGCTCACTAAATAATCTACTAGAAAACCCCAAATACAATCTTGAGATAAATTTACAGAAGATCAAGCTAATAGAGGAAAGAGGACTGGAGGGGTGGTGGTGAAGGAAGCTAAGAAACACATTAACTAACGCCAATGCAGTGTTCAGCTACAAGGTTTCCTGCACACATTCTTGTGTATAATTCTCCTAGGTCAAAAAACAACAACAAAAAAATCACCACCACCCCACCCTGCAAAAATGTATCTGGATTACATCTCTACTACCCTAATGTATGTCTGAATGTATCTTTATTAAGGGTCTTCTGTGAGTAATCTAATTACTAAGAACACAAACTGAACTGGTTAACAGGTCTAGTATGTAAGGGAAGATGAGTAGTACATCCAGGATTGGATATACTTATAAAGAAGCTTAAAATGCATATACAAGTGTACGCCAAATAATTGACAGAAGTTCAATGTTAAATCACATTTAAAGAAAAGCTGAAAGATGAACACCATAACCTTAGTCAAAAGTTAAGAGATTAATTTAAGACAACTGGCAGGAAAGAGATACCTATTTTCTTCCCCCTCTGTAATCATGCTCATTTAAAAAATGCTAAGTCACACCTTTTCTTATGGAGCACTGTCAAGTACAGAACATTACTAAGCCAAACTAGCAGGCATTTGCTCAAAATTAAGATCTAAGTCTACCTCTCATCTTTGGCCACTGCCCACTACCCACATTGCAAATGGGTTGGTGCACTTCCATTATCGAGCACTGCCATGCTGCACACTTAAAATGCTGAATTGTTTATAGCGCTTCTTATATCTAGATAGCTTTACAGTCAGTAGCACCAGTATCACTTGTAGCATCAACATAAGTAAGGTAGGAGAGAAGTATTTTACAGACTCAAATTTTCTGTTGCTGCCAAGTTTGCACAGTGTCAGGCTTTGAATAGATTTTACAGAGCAACATCTTCACTGTTTTCTCACACCCAGATCTTTACTCCTACTAGAAGCATGGGCACACATTGATGCTGCCCCCACGGCATTGCTGGAAAGAAGAAAAGCCACAACATCACGCATGACAGTATAGTAACCTCATATCAAGTCTATACATATGCCTTCCTTCCTCTTCTCCCTTCTTCTAGACTTCGTTATCTGTCAAAAAAAGTCAGCCCAAAGAACAGCATCTCTCAAGACGTTATGTTCAGTTAGCTTACTAGGCTTTCTATTGTAACAACCAATATATAAACACTCACTTCTCTGACCAAAAATAGTCCTACTTTAAGCTGGAGCAATATGTAGACATGTCAACCCTTGGATTTAAACATGCAATACGACTGAACACTAATTGCCGTAATTGAGCCAAAAAATGCCCACTTAATCCTGAAGCTGCCACTTCAGGAGTGGTTTTAGTTTGACATACACGAAATGAGGAGGGAGTCTGTATCACAGCAAAGCAATGAACTGACACGCTAATTTCAAATTCAGACCTACTTGATGTGCACAGCAGAGGAATTTCCATTACACAGTACAGCATTTGTGTTCCTCTATGTTTGGGGGAGGGGGGAATAGTACATTCAAACTGGCCATATACCGTCATTGAAACACAGCCATAACCGACTCATCTGACAAAACCAGTCTTTCCCTGCTCTTACCAAAAGCAATTAAAAATCATTATTTTACTACACCCAAAACAGAAGACATGGCTTAATAAGGGATTCAGTTTAAAGAAAACAATCACTTTCCCAATACTATCTTCAGTATCTGGGCTGTCTCACAACTATGCTGTGGTTGCAGCTGAACATCACTTCAAGCAGCAGCACAACTCTCCCTGAGTTTCAGCACCGTTTCTGAGCAGATTGATGGCACTTACCTAGCAGCACTGTGGCAAGTATTGGGACTGAACTACAACTTGCTACCTTCATGAACACCTGATACTTTGGCCACTAACTTAATCATGAAGAGACTTTCCATATAAATTTGACACACCAACTCCCTCCTTGGAAATAAAAGGTCCAATTTACTGCCTTTTTGCAGTTGCGTCAGATTCCCCATCCATAGCCTTATTGCCTAAGGGAGCAGCTAGCCTAGTGACAGAAAAACTGCCATAGCATCTCCCTTCCCAGAAAGGTGTCGTTGTAAAAGCCTCAAACTAATTAAGACAATTAAAATGAACTATTTCAGCCCTCTTGCCCTGCCAAATTTGTTGACACGGCTGAATAAAAGTACACTGTTTCTGCAGCAGCTAGGGAGATTCACTTGGATGCTGCAGGTAAAGGCTTTGCCTAACTGAGGTCAATAGCAGCTCTCCCCAGCCTGGGCACAGAAGAATTTCCAACAGATAATATAGAGAGGAGGAAGGAAGAGCTCTGCTGGTGTTTTTCCACTCCGTTTCTCTGCACAATACCACTGTTCATCCAGGAACCAAGCCGCTCACATCACACCACACAAGAATAGATGGAGTAAAGTCATCTCAGGAAAGAGGGTCAGTTAAGTTTAGAGGCAAAGGTGACTCTGGTCAAGTCAGAAGGAACTTCAACAAATCCACCCATTAATTATCAATTTCTCCATTAACTGAATTAATAAATGAAAATATAGTTTTATCTGAACTTTTATTTCCTTCCTCCTTTCTTAAACCCTCATGGAGGAAAAACAAAAAGAAAGAAAGAAAATAGCAGACTGATAGCTGCAATTTTGTTATCTTCACCACCCCTTACGCCAACACACCAGGAACAGTCATCCTGATTATTTCTCACCTCTACTCACATTTAAAACTATAAAAGGCACAACAATTCTGGTATAGAGACTTGAGTCTATACGCCAAAATTAACTGGTAGGTTGTATAAAAA